CTGGGTAGGGTCCTACACTCCGCTCTTCCCCCTTGATGGTCCCAGGGACCTCTGCTCCTAGACTGAAAAGTTAATCACTCCTCTCCTTGCTACAAAACGTCTACCTTTACATTTCCAACCCTCACAAGCAGTCCTGATAACAATTATTCACTATTGTATCACAAGAGACCTTTACACATTTCATTTCATCAGCCCCGCCTAGACAGATTGGATACTACTCAGTGGAGATTCTACCTTCCTTCACACCCTCTGGAACTAGGTTCCCTCTTGAAAGCTTGTAAACCAGTCACTTCTTGCCTTTGTAGTCCCCCATTTTGGGTAGCCAATGTCCAAGTTTCCCATCCCTGTCTACTCTGTGTATGGAGGGGGTGGGAATGATCCTTGCTGTAAGGATTTGTTCCCTCCTTTGAGCTACTGCATCCATAGGTCGCTGTAATCTTTTGAGAGCATTTTATGGTGTTGCTCAAGTTCTCTGCTTACTCCCATCATTGTATGGGTTCTTGGAAGTTACACCTCTCTGGATTTGGTACTTGAGGAACAGGAAGTGAAACCAGCCCAGTATGATGGTAGATTTTGGGGTCTGGACCACAGGATAACAGCAGTCAAGAGACGCAAAGCCCCATTCCACCGGTGATTTTTTTGTGCCCTGGGTGGTCAGATTCCTGCCTCTGAGCTGGGTTCCTGCCCCCCTGATGTGTGACGGAACAGATGTGGGGAGGCAGGGCAGCTTGGCTTTCTTCATTGAAAGGTGTGGTCTGAATTACGGCTTGAGCCCCAGTCTTGTTCCTGTTTCTGTGGCTGGTTCTTCTGGATCCTCTGAGCTGTGTCAGTCACTTGGTGACTTTCTGACCCCTTGTTTTAGGGGACAGTTACTTGACTGGCCCTGCCTGATCTCTTAGCTTCAATTTCATTTGGTTTAACACAGGATTACTTGGCCAGAACACCCCCATCCTAAGAATACTCTGTTATTCCTTTTGTTGTTGTTAAGAACATACAGGACAAAAGATACACCAATTCAGCAATTTCTACCTGTATAATTCAGTGACAGTGATTCCATTTTCCAAGTTGTACAATGCTTCTCACCCTCCTCTTCTGAATTGTACCTCCTCCATTGTTCTTCCTCCATTCACAACAAGGAGCTCCGGTAGAGGTAGCATAGTGGTTACAAATCAGGCTGCAAACCGCAAGGTCAGCAATTCGAAACTGCCAGCTGTTCCGCGGAAGAAAGATGATGCTTTCTGCTCCCGTAAAAATTTACAGTCTCAGAAACCCTGTACAGGGTCGCTATGAGTCGGAACCGACTCCATGGCACATAACCATCACCATCACGGTTCACATCAGCTCACTGTCTCCTTAGGCTCCTGTCTAATCTTTCAAACAGCTGTGGTCAGTTTCATCCCCTGTAGAGGAGGGTCCCTAAATAAGCACAATGGCATCATTCTTTACTAGTTACACTAAACTCTTACTTGGTTTCTAGAAGACTTCTGGGGGCAGGGGTGAGGGTGGGGGTGGTGGGAGCATTTTTGCTTTATGCTTAAAGTTTATCTCAGAGCAGTAGTTTCTGTGGTTAAGAATACTTTATTATTCTTATTTAGTTAATGAGGCCACAATGAACCCAGACTTACAGCCTCAGGGCCTTTTAGTGGGCAGAGGGAGGGGTGATTATAGAGATTGAAGGTTCTGTCTGGAGGGAAAAACCTTAGGCGTCAATGCTCAGAGAAACACCAGAAATGAGTGTAACAGAATTGCGTGGTGAACTGGTGTGGCCCTGTAGAATAAGCACTGAACTGTTAACCACAGGTTGGTAGTTCAAACCCACCAGCTGCTCCTTGGAAACCCTATATCGGGTCACTGTGAATCGGAGCCCACTTGATGGTACTTAGCAACTACAACAACCAACAGAATTGTGAATAAATACAATTTGAACCAGACAACATCAAACCAAAAGTATTAGGAAGGCGTAACAGAGAGGAGAACCCATGAAAAGAGTTGTATATACCAGAGGGCTTCAGAGAGTTCCTGACAAGATGGAATTGAAAGGTAATGGAATTTTCCCACCCACTTTCTGAAGTCCCCTTGTAGGCAGGGGTGGGGCAGAGTAGTCTGAAGGCCGGTGCCGATTCCTTCCATGTTGGTTTCTCATGAGAGACATTCAGGGCATGTGCAGGGTTTCAGGGTCAGTCTGTAGGAAAACCTATGAGTCGCTATGAGTCGGTTTCGACTCGATGGCACCTGACAACAACAACTGTAGGAAAACCAGAATCATGAAGAATATGTCATGTGTCCTAAAGGAGTGACTGCTAACCACACGGTGACTGGTCCAATCCCACCGGTAGTTGTTGTGATGTGCCATGGAGTGGGTTCTGACCCCTAGTGACCCTGTACAGGGTTTCCGAGGCTGTAAATCTTTATGGGAGCAGAAAGCATCATCTTTCTCCCACAGAACCGCTGGTAGTATCGAACTGCTGACCTTGAGGTTAACAGCCCAACTCGTAACCATTATCTGGCAAACCTGTGCAGGATTGCTGAGTTGTAACCTACTCGAAGGCATTTGACAACAACATATGTCCTAAAACACAACTTCCAGTCACACCCTAGAGTTCCTTCCTCCTGAAACCAGATGTCAAACCAGTTCATTCCAGATCTGTCAGCTGCTGAGAATTTATAGTTCCATCCGCAAACCCAACCGGCTGCCGTTCTGACTCTTAGAGACCCTGTGTCGGATTTCCAAGGCTGTGACTCCTCATAGGACTGGAAAGCCTCATCTTCTGCGGATTCGTTGGTGGGTTTGAACTGTCAATGCTGGGGTTAGCAGTCCAGTGTGTGTCCGATAGCACCACCAGGCCTCTTTGATTTCTACCTCAGGTGTACGGAATCATCTGAATGTTCTGTACACCTGGGGTACCAGGGATCTTGTATAAATGTAGACTCGGATTCAGTATATCAGGGGTGGAAATGCAAATTCTAAGCAGAGGGTCACAACTGGAGTGCGTTTGAACCCAAAATGAAATCAGTCTGTTGAAAGCCCTGCAGTTAGACAGTTCTCCAGAAGAGCCCAGTGCTCAAGGTAAAACTTAACTAGCTGCTGTATACTAGGCTGTGGTTCCACCCGAATGAAGGTGGCTCCAAAAAATCCAGTGTCTTTCTTAGTGTTTTTTTTGTTTTTTTAAATTTTTTATTGTGAATTATGTGATAGTTTACATGGGAGAACATTAGTTTTACATAGATAATTTCATTGCCATGGTTACAGTCCCCTCCATGCATCATCCAGTGTTCATCCTGTGGAGCTACTACACTCCCTTGTTGTAGTTAAGTGCCATCAGATCTGACTCATAGTGACCTTGTATAAGGGTTTCTGAGGAGCGACTGACCTATGGCTTGAACCTCTGACCTTACAGTTAGCAGTCCTGTGCTTTTACCGTACAGCACCACACCAGGAGCCCATGGTATATATTAAACCTTGTGTTTGGTGTTTTACATTATGTTAGACTTTAAAGAACAGGGCATTTGGTTTGTGGAAGACTACAGTCTTACTGTGGCACTGTATAATAAGCACTGGACTGCCACCCACAAGATGGACAGTTCAAATCCACCAGCTGCTCCTTGTAAGTCCTATATAGGGTCTCTATGAGACGGAATCAACTTGATGTTACTTGACAACAAACAGCAATATGGTTTACTTTGAGAGCTGGAAATCTGTTTTGAGTCTTGACCTTAATTTGATCTTCATTGTCTTCTTTCTGACCTCTAACCAGCAATGTGAAAAGCTTTTCCCTCAGGTAGAGTTTTGTTGAAAGTGGATTACTACAGCTCCCCTAGCCTGTCCAGGGAAGGGCAGTCTCATCCTCAGGGATTTGTTTGGGCATACCGTTAATGAAAATTAGGGTACCAGGGCCACATGGACCTGAGTCATAAATAAGCTAAGGTGGTCAAAGGGTCCGGGAGCCAATCCTGTCAACTTTTCTAATCTGTAATAGTATACACATTCCAGTTCTGGGCCCTTTTGCCCCCTTCCACAGTCCAGTCTGTCTGCCACCAATCATGATTTTTTGATGAGTTTCTTTTGTTTTCATCTTCATGTAATTGGCCATGTGGCTGTGAATCCTTTGGACATTTTTTGGCCTCATGCTGATGAGCGCTCTCTCATTCAGATGATTTGTCCTTGTCCCGTTAAGACTTAAAAAGGGGTCTATATAAAATATATTGAAATTAGGGGTCATTTTCCCCGTAGAACAACACACGTTTATATCTCCATCAGAGGGGCTTGATACCTTGCCTAAGCATGCCCGGCTGGTTTGAGGCAAAGCAGTTTAGAACCCTTGTTGGCCCCATTTAGCCAAATTTCTGTGCTGCCAAATCCTGACCTTCATAGCCTGAGGGAAAAACAGAAGTCAGCAGGAGAGCCCTCCCCTTTTGAAGCAATTTCAGTTATGCTTTTCAAGGCTGAGCTGATAGGCACAAGACTGGAGCAGGAGTCAGGGTGGCAGCGGAGGGGGTGTGGGGGGAAGCACTTGTTAGAGGGGTGGTTTCAGAACTCAGGCCCTGAATGAATTCTGAGCTTTTGCTTCCTGATCCCGATGCATCCTTGGCATGTTCAGCTGCAGCACCCCTCTTGAGCCCTCATCTTTGTAATTAACTCAGCCTGCCACTCTCTGCCACTCCCCTTCCACCACAAATCCCATGGATGCTGGCATTTTGCCAGTGTTTCATATCAAGAGCCCTTCTAGCACCCACTCTTAGGAGTAGATCCGCCTGAACGGCACATGGGCCTCCTCCAGAGGTTTGAGCCCTCTGACATTTTTCCTTCCTGTTTATAACTTCCGTAGAATCCACTCTGGTGTCTGGTCTTGTATTCAGAAGGCCTTGCTGCTGTCGTTTGAGTAAGATCCTTTGACCTGCCTCTGCGGAGAGGGGACTTTGGGAAGGGGAGCTTGCTCATCTGCCCGTCTTTCTCTGCAGGTGTCATGTGACTGTCCGTGGGAGTTGCTGCACGAGTGGAGATGCTCTCAGTGGGGGAGAATGGACTGGACCCCCGGGCTGCCATCCCGGTAGGTGGTGAGGGAGGATGGGGAGGAGGTTGGGGAGGAAGGAGAGACCACCGTTTCATCAGCTCTGCTTACTTCCAAATGAATGGGCTGTATCCCAAGAGGCCTTGGGTTGAGAACAGAGCAGAGGCAGGCTCTAAGAAGAGATATCCTGTCTTTCTCTTTCATCTTATTGGTAATAAAATAGGATTTTACCACCCCTCTTAAATTCCCCCTCCCCCCAAAAAAATCCATTTAAGATAGATTACCTGTGTGTTTGCAGCTATATTTGCCAATAGGCAAAGAGTTACTCCCCTGGAATGTTTCTTTAAGGGCCTTTGTAATGTTTGGCACTCTTTAGGTCATCAAGAAGAAGTTGGTGGGATCAGTGAAGGCGTTGCAGAAACAGTACGTGTCCTCAGACACAGTGGTCACCAGCGAAGATGGAGATGCCAACACCATGTGCAGTGCCCTGGAGGCCGTGTTTATCCATGGCCTGCAGGCCAAACACGTCCGAGCTGAGGCCGGAGGAAAGAGGAAGAAACGTACCCACCAGAAGCCCCTGCCTCAGCCTGTCTTCTGGCCCCTCCTGAAAGCCGTTACCCACAAGTGAGCTCAGCCTGGAGAGCCTTTGCTTGGGGAGGAGCTTCTGAGTGTGGGACATTTAACTGTTCCTCTTCAACTGTGAGGAAAGCTTATAGGGCCTCTCTGTGTTTCAGTGTAGAGAGAATTGGAGGCTTCCTCCTAGGCCAAATTTCCCAACCAGGGTGCCATTTGATTCTGAGCCCCTCAGCCCCAGGGCTAGTTTCCTCTAGCAGGAATAGCCTCTTCTGTTGACTTCAGGTACGTTAGTCATAATGTGAAAAACGTGAGAACTGTTCTTTAGGTGAGGGCTGCCAAGCTACCTGGGCCACTACCTATTTTTATATGACACGTTTTATTGGGACACAGTTACACCCATTATCTGTGACTGTTTTTTCCTGACCAAGGCAGATTTATTGCTTCAGAGGTTGTATGGCTTGTTGTTGTTGTTGTTAAGTGCCATCAAGTTGGTTCTGATTCATAGCAACCCTGAATAGGGTTTCCAAGGAGCGGCTGGTGGGTTTGACCTTGTGGTCCAGTGTTTATCCTGTAGTGCCACACAGTGACTTCAAACCTCAAATATGAGAGGTGCTCCCAAAAGTTTTTAGAAAAATTCCATTGTCTTTTCTGTGTTCCCACAGATTTTTAAAATTCCCCTTGTATTTACTATCTGGCCCTTTATAAAATAAAATTTCCAGCCTTGCCTTAGAATGTGTGAACATCTTTGTGCTAACTGCTATAGTTGTTGGTGCTAAGTGCCATCAAGTCAGTTCCAACTCATAGCAGCTCTGTGTAGGATTTACAAGGAGCACTGGTAGATATGACCCGCTGCCCTTGTGGTTAGCAGTCCAGTGCTGACCCTACAGCGCCACAGCAGGAGTCTCTGAATGTTATAGTAGTCCCCCTTTTCTGCAGTTTTCTTTTTAAAATATCCACAGCCAACCATGGTCTGAAAATAGTAAATGGAAAATTTCAGAAATAAACAATTCCTAAGTTTTAAATTATGTACCCCTCTGAGTAGCACGATGAAACCCCCCACTGTTCCACTTCAGATGTGAATCACCTGTGTCTGGGCAGTTCACACTGTAGCCACTACCTGCCTGTTAGTCACTCCGTTGCCTTCTCACTCGTCAGATTGACTGTCACAGGATGGTAGTGCTTGTGTTTAAGGAACCCTCATTTTACTTGATAATGGTCCTATTTTATTATTATTTATTATTGTTAATCTCTTACTGTGCCTAGTTTGTAAATTAAGCTTTTATCATAAGTATGTATGTGGAGGAAGAAACAGGGTATAGTAGGTTCAATACTATCCATGGTTTTAGGTATCCACTGAGGGTCTTAGAATTTATTCCCCATGGAAAAGGGGGGACTACTGTCTTCGTAACTAGGGATGGGAGTTTTTAAGGAGTAGAATCCAGGTAGAACTTCTGAATATTCATCTGTGAGACAGTTTGCTTTCTGACCCTCTAACTCCCTTTGAGCAAGTATCTGGCATTGGGCCTCTAAGGGCTATTAAATGCCACTTTTAGGCCCAAGTTGCCTTGTCAGCCTCGGATCTTCCTTTCCATGCCTACCCCCACTGCCATGGGTCAGTTTCTTACCTCTGCTGGCTGACAGTGGTTTCTCATTGTCCCCTTATCTCATTCTGTCTTTCATTACTTCATCAGCAGGTCAACATTTACTGTGTCCAGTAGAGTGTGGTCAGCCCATGAGGGAGACATGCACAGGGGGACTAGGGTAGCTCAGAGGAGGGGCATTTGCCTCAAATTGAGGGATTCAGGAACTGAGTTTGGTAGACTTGGGGTCTTGTCTTTGTATTCAGAAAAATCCCTTCTGAAATCTGCATATTTACAGCCAAGTCACTTTCCTGTACAAAACCTGTAGCCCATAGGTTCCTAAATGCCATCCAAGGGCTGCTGCCAGCCTGCTGGAGTCTGGGTTACCGGGGTGGGGTTGAGGTCTTGGTAGCTGTGCCACGATCAAGTTCTCCAGGTGATTCTGATGCATAGCCTCTTGTGGGAACCTTCGCCCCACTTCACCTGATCAACTTGATACTCAAGACCCTCTGCTACCTCTTTTTGCAATCGAATCCCCTTCACTTGTAATTGGAGTGCTCCCCGTTCTTCTTACAAGTCTCTTGCTTCTCTATCCTTGTGCTTACAAGGTTCTCCTTCCACTGTTGTCTGTTCTTGAAACCCTTCATGGCTGCCTTTTACTCACTCTTACCCTGAAATGATACTAAAAATAGGGCTTGAGTCACCCTCAAAAGGGAATTACTTGCTAAGAGCAGAAACCACGTCTTGTCTTTGTTTCTTCACAGCTCCAAGGAGTTTGCCCTTAGATGCTCAGCCGGTGTGTCTTACTGAACAGATAAAAGCCAGGGGTATCAGGGGTAGTTGTAATAAACAAAGCAATTATCCTTCATGACACCAACCTCAAAAACTTGGGGGTTATAATTTAGATATTTCTAAATTCCCCTGAAAACACCCTCATCCAGGAATTTATCATGCTTAGGAATCCTGGTATGGAGCTGTGGGTTAATGCGCCCCACTGCAAAGCCATTTAAACTGCAGGGTTGGCAGTTCAAGCTTACCAGCAGCTCTTCAGAAACCCTATACAGGGCCGCTGTGGGTCGGAATCAACTCGATGACACTTAACAACAACAACATGTATGCTTGCAGTACATTTGGCACTGGGATAATGCACTGGACCTCAAGGTCGGTTTGAACCACAAGGTCGGTGATTCAAACTCACCAGCCGCTCCTTGGAAACTCTATATAGGAACGCTATGAGTTGGAACTGACTCGATGGCACTTAACAACAACAATGTATATTTGTAACCACTATGATTGGTTCTTAATAACTAGTGACTGAAGAGACATCTCAGTGATTTGTAGTTCTCTGAAACAAGTCTGTTTTCCCCCTTCCCAGACACATAATCTCAGAATTGGAACACCTGGTCTTTGTCAACACGGATGTGGGCCGCTGCCGAGCATGGCTTCGACTGGCCCTCAATGATGGACTGATGGAATGCTACCTGAAATTGCTCCTCCAGGAGCGGGCCTGGCTATGCGAGTACTATCAGCCCACAGCGCTGCTGCGAGATGCCGAGGAGGGCGAGTTTCTCCTTAGCTTCCTGCAGGGACTCACATCTCTGTCCTTCGAGCTCTCCTACAAGTCTGCCATCTTAAATGAGTGGACACTCACCCCATTGGCCCTCTCTGGGCTTTGCCCACTCTCTGAGCTCGACCCTCTTACTACCTCTGGTGCAGAACTCCAGCGGAAGGAGTCTCTGGATTCAATATCCCATTCCTCAGGCTCAGAGGACATCGAGGTCCAGCACTCAGGCCATAAGATCCGGCGGAACAGGAAGCTCACTGCCTCCTCCCTCAGCCTGGACACGGCCAGTTCATCCCAGCTGTCCTGCAGCCTGAACTCTGATAGCTGTCTCCTCCAGGACAATAGCAGTAAGAGTCCAGACCGTTCTGAAGAGCCCATGTCCTATGACTCAGACCTGGAGACAACAAATGCTGAGGATTCTGACCGGTCTCTGCAAGAGTGAGTCCCTCTCTTTTCCTCTCTCCCTCTCCTTCCGTCCCTCTTACCGTCACATGACATCTGTCATTGTCACTGCTCATGGAACTCTGTTGGGGTGCTAAGAAGGATAAAGGAGATATCATCCCTTTTGAGGAACTGGCAGAGCTAGGAGCTGTAACTGGAAGGCACCTGGGGGCAGTGGGTAGAGTGGACTTAGGACCCAGAGCTAATTCAAGGTCCAGCTCTACCCCCGATGTCCAGTGGCAAGTTATTTTGGCTCTCGGAGTTTCACTGTGAAATACTTGAATGTAGGACATTTTCATCTAGAGGGGAAGAAACTTAACAGTTCAAGTTGATACTCTACAACTTCCAGAAAATGCAGTGAAGCAGGATGCATCGGCTGGGTGTGAGGTAGTGACAGGAGACAGCTGAGTGCCTGTGGAGGAAGGGGCAGACACCAGGGGACAAGCCAGCATGTGCCTGAACCTTCCACTTACAGTCTTTTTAAAAATTCATTTTTTGAATGAGAACTCCATCTTTATGGTGAGAAAGAGGAGCCCTGGTAGTGCAGTGGTATGTGCTTATCTGCCAATCAGAAGGTGGGCAGTTTGACCTCACCAGCTGCTCTGCGGCAGAAAGCTGTGGCATCTGTTTCTGTAAAGATGACGGTCTTGGCACTCCTCTGGGGCAGCTCTGATCTATCCTATAGGGTTGCTCTGAGTCAGAATTACCTCGTGGTAATGAGTTATGGTGGGAGAAAATCTATAACTCACACAGTGAAAAGTCTTTCCCATGCCTGTCTGTCATCACCTGTTCTTCCTTCCTCCCACCCCATGGCCATAACTTTTCATTTCATTCATATTGCTCTCAGATTTCTAAATACATCTACAATAAATATGAATACTTTGTTTAAATTTCTTTCTTAGTTTCCACTACCCTACTCTCTTCTATAAAAGGTAGCATATATACACTGTCCTATGCCTTGTTTAGGAAAAGGTCTTTTTCTAACAGAATTTCCTTTTGTTGTTGTTTTTTTGTTGTGTTGTCTGTTTCTATTTTCTGTTGTTCCATTGTAGAGTCCTGGAGTGGCATTGTTGGATAAGCTCTGGACTGCTAACCACAAGGTTGGTGGTTCAAACCCACCAGCTGCTCCTTGGAAACCCTATACAGGGTTGCTAAGAGTTGTAATTGACTCGATGACACTTAATAACAACATTGTTCCAGTGTACAAAAGTCCTTTGGTTTATTTAATCTGTCCCTCTAGTCTTTTGTGGTGTCAGTGTTCCTGTGAATAACTACATATGTAGGGATTGTAGTTTATGTATGGGAGTCCTGGTGTGGCTCTGTAGAAAAAACATTGGATTACTAACTGCAAGGTCGGTGGTTCAAGTCCACTATCCTATCCTTGGAAGCCCTATACAGGGTCACTATGAATCAGAACTGACTTGGTGACACTTAATAACAACAACATGAAAATTCCAAATTGTTTTATCCTTTGCTCAGAAATGTTACTTTTAGCAGTTTGCTGTTGTTAAGTGCTTATCCTATGGAGCCGTACCAGGACTCCAAAGCTGAAACTAATTTTTATAGATGTTAGTTATTTACGTTCCATTAGGAATGTGTCTCTGTTCCCTTAGCCTTGCCAACAGAAGGGATCGCCAAACTTTGGGTTATTTTCTCATCTAATAGGTGAAAAATGGTAACCTTATTAACTGAAGTAAGCGCCTCCTTCAGTTGGATCCCTGTTCCATCAGCCTCTGCTTAGAATCTTCTTGTCCATTCCTAGGTGCCCTGGTGGCACAGTAGTTACACACTTGACTGCTAACCCAAAGATCAGCAGTTTGAATCTGCCAGCCAGTCTGCATGAGAAAGCTGTGGCAGTCTGCTTCTGTAAAGATTTACAGCCTTGGAAACTCTGTGAGGTAGTTCTCCTCTGCCCTTTAACGTAGCTATGAATCGAAATCTTGATGGCAGTGGGTGTGGTTTGGGGGTTTTCTCCTCTCCTCCTGCTTCCACCTTGATTCAGGTCCCTACAGTGGTCCCCTCTGGTGTGAGAATAATGCTGGATTGGACTTGGAGCCTTCAAGCCGTATCCCACCATGTACACGTCTGGTAATATCAAACAAATTACAGACTCTTTGTGAGGTTCTGTCTCTTCATCAGTAAAATGGAAATGCCCTCACAGGGCTGTTTGAGAATCAAATCAATTCCCCTTTAGTTGCATACATGAGAATGTCTGATAGGCTCCATGCAGGACTTTTAAGCACTGGCACATGGGAATGGGGTTTTTGATCGGAAACCTTGCAGAGGAGCGTCTCTTCTCCACAGACGTCTGGTCTCATGACATGACTTATTCCTTCTCACCTGTCTTAGCTCTTCGCATATGTATACCTCCTCGCACAAACCAGCCAGCTCTTCTTGATCATGTGCCTCGCCTTTATCTTTCATGAGTCTTATGACTGGAAAATTCCAGCTTAAGGTTATTGAATCAGTGACCATCCACCCTGAGTGGGAAGTGTTATTCTGGATCCTGTGGAGGAACTCAGGGGAGAAGGGTCTGGAGTCAGACATGAACACTGCACAGTGGTATGAGGAACTGACTACCACTAAACACCCAGACAAGCACAGACACCTCCAGCACCATCCTTCTTAGAGCTGGCCCTGGAGCTAGTCTCTGAGTGCCCACAGGAGTTGAGACAAGAAGTGAATCTGAGCCCGAGGCTGTATTTCTGTTAATGTATGTTTTAAGGGTACAAGATTCTCACTGACTTCTTATTGTAATTATATTACCAAAATACTTATTAGCTTCAAATTAGACAAAACAGCTTAATCAAACAGTTAATAAAATCAAAACATCTACCCTTCATTCAGTTTACAATAAATTTTTTAAAAATCAAATCATCTGCAGAGTAAATATAAATTAAAAAACACATAATATTAAAAATAAATATTACTAATTTAATATAAGGAGTTGGTTTTTGCCAAAAGCAAATTGTAGCTTGCCTTGTGAATAGATGAATGAGGAGTGACAATTCCTAGAAGTTTCTTCGAGTTTCATGAGGAAAAAATTAAAATATCACATTTCTGCCACCAACTCAGTTCCAGTTCAATTCTCTTGTCACTTCTGTTCTGTGCTAGGTCCGATCTCACATAAAGGACACAGTCCTCAAGACTGTCAAGTTAGCCTAAGCCTTGTGCCACCCTCGCTTCTGACCTGCTAGCTACAACTTCAGGCATTCTCTCTAGCTCCTCAAGATACTAACCATAAACTCAGGGGCTTCCAGTCCCCCACACTTCTGACCTGCTGGCTCCCGCTATTCCTTTGGGTTCAATAATTTACTTGAATGATTCATAAAATTCACAGAAAGTGCTATAGTTATGATATTAGTTTTATTTTAGGAGAAAAGATGCAAATTAAGAGACCCAGAAGCTTTGGTCAGGAAGGGTTCCCAATGCAGAGCGCCCATGTCCCAAAAAGGGACAGGCTACCCTCCCACATGTATTGTGTCTTTCACCAGTCCGGAAGCCCATGGAGTTTCCTTGTCCAGAGCTTTTATGGGGGGTCTCATTGTATAATTGAAACTCTAGTTCCTCTCACCTGAGGTTGACCATGAGGTGGTCTTTTCTGGCCTGGACAGCCCCCATCCAAGAGTCAACTTGCTAGCATAACCTGTTAGGTCGATAGGGTCTGGAGCCTGCATCAAAGACATTGATTAATGGGGAAAACTCAAGGTTTTAGAGATTATCCCCTAGGAGCTGAGAACAAAGACCACACTCTCTTGGGAAAAGTTAGCATAAACACCACAGGTGTGGATTGTTATTATCACAGGCACAGAGTAGAGGTTAAGAGCCTGGACCCAGGAGCCAGATTGCCTGAGACTTCCACTTATCAGTTTTTCACTCCATTTTTTCTTCTCTTTAACTTTTTATTGTAAATTGAGTGAAGGTTTATCATTAGCTTTACATTAAACGAATCACATACTTGCTTCATTACATGGTTGCAATCCCCTCCATGTACCAACAGCTAACAGTATTTACCTCTGTTCACTTTAACTATTGCATTCCTCCCCATGACTCCCGCTGCCTTCATCTTTCCTCTGCTAACCTCCCTCTTGTTGTATACTGCCTTCCTTGTCACCCATGTTAACATGAGTCTACCCTCTAGCCGGTGAATAATTTTCCCTCCCCCCACCCCACATAAACAACATAGATTATTTCTTTTATCAAGAAAACCTTTTTTAAGCTTTTTACAACATTAGTCTCATACACTGTTTGTCCTTTTATGATTGACTAATCTCAGCATAGTGTCCTCCAGGTTCAACCATGTTGTAAGGTGTTTTACAGATTCATCATTATTTTTCAATGTTTCATAGTATTCCATTGTGTGTATATACCAAAGTTTGTTTAGCCATTCTTCTGTTGATGGGCATTTAGGCTGTCTCTTGTAGACAGCTTATTGAAGGATCTGTTTTCTTATCCATTCTACTCTTATGTCTCTTGACTAGAACATTTAATCTATTTAGATTCAGTGTAATTATCAATACATATGAATTGATTGTCATTTTTCTGTGTGTGTTTTTTGTGGTGCTGCTGGAGTCTTTGTTTCACTTCATTTTCTGTGCTGAGTTCAATTTGCCTGTGGCTTTTCTTGTCATTTTCATTTCTGTTGTGTTAATGTTTACTGAATCTGATTTTCCTCTATTTAAATTTTGATGTGCAGGTGTATTATATTTCTTTGAGGTTATCCTGTAATTTATTAATTTTTTTTTTCTTTGCTTTAAACAGTTGGTTTTATCTAGAAATCTACTTGACTTCTTTGCCATTTGGAACTTCTGTATCTGTACTATTCCCTCTTTCTGCTTTCTAGTTTACTTCACTGTACATTGGTAACTCTGGTTCCCTATTTTCTGTTTTCTAGGTTTGTTTCACTTTAAATCCTTCTATATGTGGATTGAGTTCTTAGTGGTATTGTCATGTATGGGAATCTCAGGTTGGTGTCAGCTGTTGTTGATTCTCAGTTC